TTGTGTTCCTGTGGGTGATATGTGGTTATCAGAAATGGAGGGAGGGTTCAGAGATCTTTGAGAATTCTCAACAGAGCAAGTCGAAAATGCTGAAAGCCACTTAAGAAAGTGCTCAACATCCTTAGCTATCAGGGAAATGCAAATCAAAACAATTCTAAGATACCATTTTACTCCTTATGCTGGAGAGGATGTACAGAAAGAGGAACACTCCTCCACTGCTGGTGAGAGTGCAAACTTGTACAACCATTTTGGAGATCATCATCAGGAAAAATGTGAATCAGTCTACCACAGGACCCGGCAATTCTGCTCTTAGGCATATACCCAAATGATCCACATTCATGCAATAAGGACATCTGTTCAACTATGTTCATAGCAGCATTATTTGTAATAGCAAGAACTTGGAAGCAACCTAGATGCCCCTCAACTGAAGAATGGATAAAGAAGATGTGGCACATTTACACAATGGAATACTACTCTGCAGAAAAAAACAATGAAATCTTGAAATTAACAGGCAAATAATGGAACTTGAAGAAACCATCCTGAATGAGGTTAACCCAGTCACAAAAAGAGGAACATGGTATGTACTCACTCATATATGGATTTTAGACATAAAGCTAAGGATCACTAATCTATAATTCATACCACCAGAGAAACTAGGATACAAAGAGGAACCTAAGAGACTCATACAAGGTCCCTCACAAAAGAGGAAAGGAACAAGATATCGTGAGCATATTAGGATTGCGGGGGAGGTAGTGAATGGAGAGGGAGCTAGGAGAAAGAGAAGGGGAGGAGAGGAAAGCACATGGGACTAGAAAGATTGAGGCAGGGAGAAATAGACAAGACAAAAAAAAAAAAAAAACAAACAAAAAAAACAAAAAAAACCAGAGACATACCATTAAAGAGGAAGCCATTATAGGATAGGTTTGAAGAGAAAACTGACCCTAGAGAAATCTCCAGAGACTTACAAGGATGACCCCAACTAACAATCTGAGCAATAGTGGAAAGGCTACCTTAAATTCCCTTCACTGATAATGAGATTGATGACTGATGTATCTACCATCATAGAGCCCTCATCTAGTAGTTGATAGAAACAGAAGTAGACACCCACAGCTAAACACTGAACTGAACTCCTCTAATCCAGATGCAGAGAGGGAGGAATGATAAGAAAATGGCGACAAGACAAGGCTATGGAAACCTACAGAGAGAGCTGACCTGAATAAGGAGGAGCTAATGGACCCCCAGACTGATAGCTTGGAAACCAGCATTGGACCAACTCAGACCCCCTGAACTTGGGTCTCAGTTAGAAGGCCTGGGCAGCCTAAGGGACCTCTAAAATTGGAACCAGGATGTGTCCCTGGTGCACAAAAGGACTTTGGAAGCACATCCCCATAGATGGATTCTCCCTTAACCTAGAGGCAGGAAAGATGTCCTAGTCCCTACTCCAAATGACTTGACAGATTTTGCTGATCCCTCCTGAAAGGCATCACCCTCCCTTTGGACTTGGGGAGGCATAGAAGGGAGGGAGTAAGAAAAGAAGGGAGGGACAGGGAACTGGGATTGATATGTAAAATAAGAAAAGTAAGTAAAAAAAAAAATAAAGGAATAAGAAAAGGAGAAAAAATAAAAAGTATAAGAGTTAGCAGTGGTCAATGACTGCAGGGAAACAGTGTCTTCTGGTTCTAGTAGAACAGCTGCACATAAATCACAGTGGCTATGACAGCATGCACAAGACTGGTTCATGCTCAAGCCAGATCAAATCAAGACATGATGAGGGGGGACTGTGGGAAAAATCCCAATCCTTGCTAAGGAGCTACTGGTGATTGATAGCTGCTGGGAGAGAGTCAAGTTTTCCTGGTAAGTTTACCATACTCCAGTCAGTGGTCACATCCAAGAATATGTGGATGACACTGACTGGTCTTAGGTACACAAGCAGGGTAGATCTGGGAAGAGTTGACAGAAGGAGGGTAAATATGATAGAAACACATCATATGACATTTTCAAGGAACTAATAAATTATAGTAAATGAATATTAAAAAATTAAAATGTGAAATGTGGCTATGACAGGAGAGAGTTCCATTTAGAGGATAATTTATAAGAGAACATCTAATTATTTTACTAGAGACTAATGAATCATGCTACAAAACATATGGAGTTTTATGAAAACATTGTGAATGAAAACTGAATATTTGTGCTCCGTTACAGTTGTCAGCATTCCAAAGATACGAAAATCCAGACTTTAAAATGTCATTAGGAAACATAGCCATTTTACTATACAATTCACACTGAGGCCTTTAAATTGCTCTATAAAATTTCTGGAATTCACATATTTTTCTCAGAACAGTATCAATCAGGGTGTGCTGATTTACAGGAGGAATAAAATAAGAGTAATTTTTGCATCCTAAGTAATAGTGAAAAGTACACAACTTAATCCCAAATTCAAGTGCTGCTCTTGGACTTGTCCTGTGCAGTCTAGCTAGCTATTGTTCTAGGGAACTGTAACTTGAGACTCAGTATCTAACAATAGCATACTTCCAGATAAGACAGTTGAGGAGACCAAATAGTAGGTTGCAAGCCTATAGCTACAAAGTGCTTTAATGTGAACAAAGTAAATGATGTTGTATTCCTGTACAGAATTTCCTACCATAGCACAGAAGACAGTGGCTCTTAACTAAAGAAGGGTTGTGGGCAGATTCTTGGTTTCCCAAAGAATATTAAAGGGGATTGAATTCACAATCTTGGTCTCTTTTCTCTTTCTGAACCCCTGTACATTCTGGCCAAACTTCTAATTTGCTGGTACAAATCTTGGATAGAATTTTATTGACTTTTTCTTTATAATTGGGTCTGCTGAAGTTCAGGCTGTGAGAGTAATTAGGGAGAGGGACTGTACAGGATGAGCTAACTACTTATCCATTGCTGATTTAAATCTGTTTCAGTTTACAAGACATATTAGTAGTTAAGAGCCACATGTATTGTGTTAGAGGAATGTTGTATGGTATTATTAACAATCTGGGGACTCATAGGAAGCTATAGACAAAACACACTTGTCATAAAAGTGGGTAGCATTGTCTAATTTACCAAGAGCCATTCCTATTCCAGTATAGTGTAGCCTATTTTGCTGGCTTGCAACTAGTGCTACTATGACAAGTACACTCTGGAACTTGAAAAAGAAAAAGAAAATGAAAACACAGTAAGTGCAAAGAGGCATCAAAGCAGCCAGCAATCCTGGAAAATGTGAAAACTGAGTCAGTTACTAAAATAAAGGTAACTATTAGCAGGTAGCTTTTCCCAAGGCACAAGTAAGTAACTCTCATTACTGGTAATGGAAGTCTTGAGAGCACTTCCAGGAAGACGATGTGTCTGAGTAATAGACTTGAGGGAGAGAATGCAGGCAACATATGCAGTAGCTACGATAGTGGAAACAGAAACAAAGATGACTCAGTAAGACACTTTTGGAATTTGACCTAGTCTATAGATTTTTAATCTCCTGGGGGGGGTCTTCAAATTATAAGGCTCATTCTGCAAAATAGAACTGCTAATTACAAACATCCTCATTTTCCACCTCCAAATTCTCCATATTAAATATTTGTAATATTTCCTTGCATAAAATATTTCACTGGTGTGGAAGCATTTCACAGAGTCATGAGGATTTGGAAACTGGCAGGCATGGGTTTGAATTTGTTCTGTTTTCCTTTATTAGCAGTTAACCTTAGATTCTAGTTCATTAAATACTGATACTAATAGCACTTCTGAATATTAGAAATGAAAATGCATCAAAAGTAGCTGGTACACAGCAAGTATCCTCTGGATGTTCATTATAATTAGTGATGGGAGAAGAAGGTTTTAACTTTAACCGACTAAATGTTTTGACAAAGTTCAGAAGTATATTTAAGATTGCATTGAGTTCTCAGTATAAATCAAAGCAAATACACTTTTTCATATTATTGTATGAGTTTGAGAATAAGATACTGAAAATTCACATCTTATCTCTCTCCTTGATCACAAACAGAGCATGCTGACACACCACAGATAAGCATTAAGACTCTTTAAGATTATGCCCCACAGTGTTTGGTTACATGGTTCCCTTGCTTGACAAAAACACCCTTTCTAGAACATTCCATTTGTCACTTTTTATCATATATCATAAAAGCTGGGATAAGTGATGCCTTTGAATAGGGCATTTTGGAATCTATTGTTAGCTAAAGAGAAAGACGGTCATCTTCATTAATTGGGAAAGTTTAGGTTAATATTCCACACTTCACCATCCATGCTTAGGTTTTTGAGAGAGATGACTTGAGAACTGAATTCCTAGAATTTGTCTGCCAGCACATTTGGGATCAGGGCCATTCTGTATGGAGCCAAAATTATCCCCAGCAATTTCTTCTGGCACAAGAAAAGAGTCACACACACTCCATAGCACAGGCCAATTAAGCCACAAGCACAAATCCAATTTTCTCTAGTTTGCACAGAATAACTAGTCTGTTAGTACTGCAGACTGCCAGAATCACTAGCTAATTACCTTTTCTTTCATGACAAGATTTGATCATACCTTAGTGGCATGAAGCTAGACACCAACTAGCTGTGACAATACCAATATTTTGCCACCCTTTTCAGAAATTTCTAAACAAATGTCCTGGGCTCAGGTTTTGTCCTGTGAAGCCCAGACAGACTTTTGTTTTATTAGTTTAATATTTTGTTCTGACATCTGCCAACAGATATGGCTTCTGGTTTAGCTGCTTCTCTTACTTTTGATTAATGCTGTTCTGCTTTGTTAAGACAAATTCACTGATTTGTGAACTGGGCACACTTGTGTTGCTCCTTCATCTAACATACAAATCTTGCCTTTTTCTCTAACCATCTCTCTTTTTTTACCTGAGACATATTTGGCTCTCAATATTTCCAATTTTCTTACTGTCCTAATATGATTAGAGATTTAACATGTTTGCATGAAAACAGAAAACTAAGGCTGTTATGTTCAGCAAGACTGCCATAAACCATTCCTATAACTTTAAAGATCTTTATGAGTTTCAGAACATCTTCACACACACAATTTGGTCCCCACAACAACCCTGTGAGGTAGGAAAGGACATCATTTAGCAGAGCAGAAAAGAGAAAAAGTGAGATACACACAGGCATTAGAATTCTGCTTCTATCTTAGAGCTTACTGTTAAAACAAAAAGGAAAGTAAAATCCTGAGACTTATGCTCTGTTAGCTCACAGAGAGGAAACAACATGAAAACAACATGGCATCTTGCATCTTTATTATTCCTGCATTTTCTTTTCTTCTCTTGTATTTCATTTTTCTTTTATAATTTATACAAAATATCTCCATTTCTATTTCAATATTTATTTTCAAATATATATATATGTATATATAGATAGCTATGTGTATTTATACATATATTTAAAACATAAAATGCAAACAAAGGTAAATAGCTTTCTAGATTAAAATCAAACATTGATTTTCATCATCAAAATGTTTTTGTATGAAATGAATAGCCAATTAATGAAGTTAAATTCGGTTCTTATTCAAATGTTTTGAAGACATTATTAAAGTTCTGCTCTCTCTCTGTTTCTCTCTCTCTCACATACATATGATTTGATTTGGAGAATAAGAAGGTAGGAAAGGGAAACAATACAAATAAAGTTATCTTCAATATACAAAGGGATGAAGATTATTTATCTCCTCTCAATATCTATATAGCCCTACAGTCCTATTCTTTCCCCATACCAGTTTTCTCTGGTTTGTTTATAACTGGTATAGCTATAAAGTTAGGGAAAATATTTATTGTTATATCTGGTTCCAAAACATACATAATGAATGAGTGAATGAATGGATGGCTAGATTTCCTTTTATTCCATCCATATTTCTATTTGAGAATAATGTCTTGAGCTTAACAAATCTATATTTAGTCAAGGTCCATGAAGTTTCTCCTAGAAACCAATGGATTAAATTGGATTCCATAAGATTAGGTGAGAGAAGGTCTGCAGGAGGAAGGGACATCTCATTAGTCAGCATGTGAAGGGTGAAGGGTGAACAATGTCATGGGGCAGGGCTCATTGTAGCAGAGTTCATGATGGTGAACATATGACACTGGGGCCTGAACAGCACCCAGAGTTGGGAGAAGTCATGGAGAAGCCAGGCATGACATGACACAGGAACCAAGGTCATTTGGAGGAGTTGCATAAAGATCCCAGAAGTCAGTTGTGCTGAAGGCTTGTCCAAAGGCGAAAGGCCTTTTAAGGAGATGATAGCAGAGGGCTCTGCCCAACCCACCTGATCTTAAAACGGTCCTGCCCCAGTATGATCAGGTGGTTATACTGATCCTGACACATATGCAAAAGAGGAAATCAGGGTTATTTTATTATACTTAAATGATGCTGGAGTTATTAAAATATACACTGAATTAAGTCAATACAAAGATTAAAGGTCATAATTGACCTTCTGTATGGAACTGAGTAATTCCATACATAATAACCCACAGAACCATTTTGGAGGCATTTGCAAGATCTCATTGTAAAATTCACATAACCTTTGAACTACCTATTCTACTTCTAGTAAATCCTATATTTAACAGTATTTTCCTAAAATAGCATAGAAGATGGTGAATGTAACATTGATTATTAAAGCCAAATCAAAGCAAGCAAAAATTATTGACCATTCAAGAGTAGGGAAATAAAAGAATAATTAGTGGCAATTGTGGTATCTCTGTAATTTTGAGAGATTTCTCACCGAGAGAAAAGAGGATAAAGCATATGTGATTGCAAGGTAAACACAGAAAGTCAGGGCATTTTATATTAGATTTGCAGGCATATTATTATTTATTCATTTGGAGTATTGTGGATTGCTTTACAGTCTCACTGGGGACTGTAGAAGAATCAAGAGACTGTATGTACTCATCCACAAAAATAGCTCTTACTGCTTTCTCAAAGTATTCAAACTCCCAAATAGCCATACAAATTTGTAATGTAAATTTCTAGACATAGCTGAAAATTATTACAAGCATTTCGAAGCTACAGGAAACAGAAAGTAGTATGGTTTTTCATTGTATAGATTAAGAGTAGAGATGCTCTTTATGTGCCAAACACAACTGCAATGTTTCAAAGCTCTGAGGGAGCATCAGAGAAAGGAGATGAGGTCAAGACACTTTATATAAAATTGTGAGAAAATGAAGGCATAGACAAAGATACACAGAAACTTAAGGACTAGGGTCTGATAAGAGATCAACTGAAATTATATGGGATGAAAGAGAAAAGAGATAAAGGGCCATTAACAAACATCTAGCAGACAAGTGACCACCTGAAAGAAAACATGGACAATGGAATGTGATTATGTTGCCTTAGTATGTTAATAGCAGTAAAGAAAGCACAGAAGTACTGAGAAATCCACCATTCTTATATGTTGTTCAACTTTTAAGCATCATAGTTAAATTAGCTTCAATGGCTTATCAAAACCATAAATGATGCTAATTGTGCCATTTGTACCTGGTATTAGGTTAAAGTAACTATTTTGTGACAACAAAAAAAAATACTGATTCTATATTTTTAAAAATGATCAAAACTAAAACCAGCAAGGTTTGGTTTATAAAGACTTAACCATGATCTTTTTAAACCAAGCCCTGAATGAGGAGAGTGTGGCTATGGATCACACCAGTCATGCTCACAACATGCATTTGACATGTAGACTTTCTTTGGAAGACAGGGAAGCACTGTTTGGTTTTAAGAACCCAAGGGGTGGATCTTCATTCATCTTCACAATTATTACATTAAAGTATGTTCATCCTATACACAACAAATTGCTTATGAACTAGCTAATGGATGCCATATCAGCTGATATTTGTCTAATACCCAAGTTTTCTGCATTTCAATGATAGGTCTTCATTCCATTAATGAAGCTCCTTGATGGGAAGTCTATCCCTTTGAAGGTTGAAAGTCTTGGATATAGAATATGGTATTTTCAGGGTTTTAGTTAAAACAGAACAATACAAAACCAAAACCCTAACATTATTCTGTCAAGGTCTTCAAGTTATCCACATGTCTATATATGAGCTTTTCGTGAACTCACTTAGTATGTAAAGGGACTGTGATTATTTCTATTCATAGGCTTGATTTCCCTTCAGTGGGGAGAAATTAACTTGAAAATTGGACAATTTTCTATGTGATTTTTTTCTTTAGAAAATAGTACTCATCAAAAAAAAAAAAAAAAAAAAAAAAAAAAAAACCAGAAGAAGAAGAAAAAAAACAGTACAAATGCATAATGAGTTTGAAAAAGTTGTGTAATCTAATCTATTTGTTTTACTCCAATTAGCATGTTTTATTTAGAGGAAACTGGCTGGCTTCTACAGAAGCTCTGCAGATCAATGCTAAATCTCTCTATATTACTTTCAAGCCTACACCACGAGTATGACAATCTAACTTTATTAAAACTAAACTGACACAGGAAACGAGAAGACAAACACTTACTTGATATGCCTGCACTCCCCTTTTCTCCTTTTTGACCTTTTGGTCCAGGGTATCCTTAGGAAATAAAAACAGCAAAAGACAAAAAAAAAAAAAAAAAAAAAAAACAGTTAAACACAAAATGCTGATATATCACTCTCTTTCCCTGCCCCTCTTTCTTTCCTTATTCTTTTCCATGTTGGAGTGCTGGAGATTGCATCCCAGGCCTGTGTATCCTCATCACATACTATACCACTGAGCAATAGCCCTAAACTCCACATAACTTGCTTTAAATGGAAATAGGACACCACAAAATAAGATAACCATTTATAGCAACTTATAGTTAGTTAAAAATAATAACCAAGCCATGCTGATAATAATGATGGTCACTTTTGAAACCCCATTTTAACTTTGGTATTATAATATCAAAGTTATTTACACAGGTGTGGTATGTCCCCCTTTCACAAAACAGGCAAGATAATATAATTTCTGCAAACTAATTTTCATTTTCTTCTCTGACTCTACCTTTTTCCACCTCCAACAGTCCAGCATCTTCCAACTTAACCTGAATGTTTACTTTTTCTCAGTAAAAATTTATTTTTATGTCTCATTATTTATTCTTTTGTAACAGAATATGTTCAGGGACTTTATGGAATTCTGAAGATCCCATTCCAAAGTGTTCAGTGGTCCCTCAATCATTTAGTGTAATCACATTTGGCTATGAGAATTCCCATCCATTTACATTGGAATGTAGCTCAAGTGTTATATGGGGTCAGTAACTCATACATATAAGTTAAATGTGGAAATGTTGATTATTGGTATTTGTAAATGATTTGCTACTTTGCTCTCAGTTTCAGTTTAAATGGTCATGTCTGGGAGATAATTATTTGGTATCAAAAATTTCCATGGTGACAATTTCACCTAAAGAGAGAGATTCTGTTTTACTATTAATTCTTCTTTCAACAGGTATTAGATACCTCTCTTGTAAGTAGTATCATTTTAAAATCAATACAGGATTGGTTCCAGAGTTGTTTGGTGCAAAGGCAAAATCATGGTTAATGTTTTGGATTTCCCTTTAACTTTCCATTGGAACTATATCAGAAGATACAGCTTAAGAATCACAGCCTATGGAAAATTACCAATGATTTTAAAACTTTTTTTTCAATTATTTTGTTCTACCACATGCTAAGTTTGGGACTGAGGATGGCCTTTAAGCTTTTTAAAGCTGAGGGTTATTCTTCCATTATATGAAAATAATTCTTTCCATTGCACATTTGCTTTGAAAGTTAGACACTGTATTCACAGCATACTTTCCTTAAGAGATGACAGCTTCTGCAATTTTTACTGTACTTTTCTTCTCTCACAACTTAGCTAGACTCTGGTGTCTATGATTTTATACTCAATAAATGACAACTCAAAAGACTGACAACTCATATATGATTGTGTAAAATGTATAGATTGTGTGTGTATTTATATAATCTGTGTACAGAACTAGTGTGGGTGTATTTATATAATCTATGTAGAGAACTAATGTGTGTGTATTTATATGATCTGTGTACAGAAGTAGTATATATATATATATACTACATTATTATATATATATACTACATTATATATATATATATATATATATATATATATATAATCTGTGTATAGAACTAGTGTGTGTAGTGTGTGTGTATGTGTGTGTGTGATCTGTTTATAGAATAGTTTTCTTTAAGGGCATAGGAATTTTACTCTAATGGGCAAAATTAATTTCAAATCATTTTAGACTATAAAGTTAACTATGTGAGTGCTGCTATTCTACCAGGAATTTTTTTTTATGTTATTCAACTATTTTAGAAACACTGTCAATGAACAAATGTTGATTTGCACACTCTATGATAACAGCATAGCATTACAATACCTGATCTCCCAGCCTTTCCAGGTGACCCTGGATATCCTCGATTTCCAGGGAAGCCAGCTGGCCCCCGGTCACCTTTAAGGCCAGGAAGACCTGCATGATTAATAAAGAAAACACAAAATGTCTAACAATTCATTTTCAACATATTTGAGCATCAATAAATGAAGTAAGTGATTCTCTGAGGATAGTTTGACATTTTTCCTGTCATCATGCATTCAATTGAAAGATAATACAATATATGACATAAACACACTGCAATGAGAATGTTACAGTCAATTAAAATCACATTGTCAGTAAACTAAAGACACATTGTCTGTTTTAACCATAAGGTTATTATCAGTCAGAAAATTACAAGTGGTAGTTATCTGTATAACTGTTATGTAAAATTTTTGAAGCTTGAACTTTAAATATTTACATTAGTAAAAACAATACAAGCAAAAAAAGTATCAATGAGTGTTTATTTAAACAACAAAACCTTGAATTATTTATAGATATGACACACACATAATGAAATCTGAAAATTACCATTATCTCATTATCTCATATCTCCAAGGTGACTATAAACACGCCATTTGTAGAAAAGACTATTACTCTGGAATAAAATATTTATTGTAGAGTTAAGAAATTTAAAGTAAACTAATATAAAACACTTTGTGCCCAATTGTACCTTGTTTTCAGTGTTATCATCAATTAACTAAAAATCTATTAATGCAATTTTCTTTTGTATACTCCACGGAAGCATGTTATGAAAAATTGATTATACTTCTTTCTTCAATGTCAAACTTTACAAACATGCCTTGTTTACAACATCTTAGAAGCAGAATTTATATGTTTCTAATCCACAGAAAAATATTTTCTATGCATTTAGAAGTATATCTGAAACTGGATAAATTTTCTTCTAACAAATATTTTAAGAAATATAAGATGACAAATAGGAATATTACTCAACTTATAAAGTGTTTATTCTAAGAGAAATTAGGCATGTAATCCAAATAAATGGTGTTATATAATAAAGGTGGACCATTATAAATTAGAATATTTATGCAATGAATACTATATATGTATATATACATGTATATATAAATGTGACTATGTATACCAACTAGAGCATAAAATGGTTTAACTTATTCTACCCAGATAAACTGACATTAAGACATTCCTTCATTATGCAGCCTGACATCTGGTGTGTGTGTATTATAATAAAAAGCAATAGAACAATTTCTTGACATATTTCCAAGAGACTGATACTATAAAATGAATTATTTTCATTTGCTTCAAGAAAAAGTACATTCTAATCTACTATGCACACTAGAGGTTGTGTAATAATAATGATACATTGATTATTAAGGGCCCCTCTGGTAACCACTAAAGTTTCTAAGATATTCCTATCATGGCTGTGAAAGTAGGTATTTGTTAAGCTGAGTTTAATGTGTTAAATTGCAGTATATATGGAGTTTTAAATAAAGCAGAATTGTGATTGATCATCATCTATCCTTTATTTCCAGATTTGGTATCAAATTAATTTGAAGCAGTCAGACAGAACACTGAGCAAAATACAGCAATGAAGTGGGCAAGAATTCTATCTGTTTTGCAGTTTGGATAGTTTGATGCAGTTGTCACATGCATCAAGCCAAATATCAACCCTCCACCTGAAAGGGTTATTATCTAGCAGCAATTATAATTAACTGTTGTATGAGGGAACGGCATGGGGTCTATTTGTGTAAATTAACAGTGTCCTCAGAAATACACTAAACCCTTGGTACCATTCATCTTGACTGCCAACTTGATTGGATCAGGACTTTGACTAAAAAATTGCCCCTGTGTGTGTTGGGGGCAGAAAGTCCAGTGAGGGCATGTCTAAGAAGAATTTACTGAGAGGGAAGACCCTCTCCTGATGTGCATGACACCTTCCAGCAACAGCACAACAGTAATAAAAGCTTGAGGATTAAACAGTGCTGCTTGCTGTGTGACTCTGCTTCTTGCTGGCAAGTGTTTGTTCTGCTGTTGTGGTTACTGCTGCTGTTCCTGCTGAGGCTGTGGCCAATGTTCTTTCCTGCCATCAGACTCCAGCTTCTGATGTTACAACATGAACTGAAGAACAGTTACTCTGCAAGAATATCCTAAACATTTAGCTCCAGATTAGCACTGCCGAAGCAGTCAGCATTATGAACTGAGTAGCCAGTGGGTCCTCTCCCCTCCAGCATGAAGACAACCATTGAATTATCCATCCCCTACTGTGTAAATAACTGAATAATTCTTTCACATTTTCACACTTTTTATTTAAAATAGATTCTTCCCTCATATAATACAGCCCAAATACACTTTCCCCTCCCTCCATGCCTTGTAGCTACCCACTTCCCCTCTTCTTCATATGTACTTCCCTTTCATTTCCTCTTCAGAGAAAAAATAGCTCTCTAAGAAATGACACCAGACAGGACAAAACAAGATACAATAAGATAGGGTGAAAACCATCATATCAAGGCTGAACAAGACAACCCAATAAGCGGAAATGAATCTCAGGAGCAGGCAAAAGAGCTTAAGACACACCTGCTCCCACTGTTAGGAGTCCTACAAAAACAGCAAGCTAACAGTCGTAACTTACACAGAGGATTTGGTGCTCACCCGTGTAGGCCCATGTTGTTATTTCAGTCTCTGTGAACTGATGTGATCTGTGCTCTTCTGGTGTCCTCCAGCCCCTCTGACTCCTACATTCATTCCTCCTCATCCAACTATAGTTTTTCCTGATCTCTGAGGAGAGGAATCTGACAGAGATCTCCAATTTAGTATCTGCCTCTGTCTCCCTCTAATATTATGCAGTAGTCTGTTCCTCCGTATAACCATAATTCATTTGGTAGGAATCATGGTTTATTAGGTTGATATGGTGTCTGCTTATACTAGTAACAAAAGCTGAAAAGTTCAAACTACTTTATCTCACACGTCCATAGATCAGAACCTAGGAATAACTCTTCTAAAGCGATACTTTGTAAAGCAAGTCATGGCCAAACTGACTTTCTATGTTTGCACTATAGCAATTATTCTTCACAGTAGGGGGTACTTTCTTTCAGATCTTGATAACAGTAGCTTGGACAGACACAATAATGTTATTTACTTCTCCTACTTAAGATATGATGCATTTTTTTTTTAAAGATGTGTAGTGGCTTCAACAAGTAGAAGGATTTTGCTAGATAAAATAATTACTGCCATTATTATCAAAAGCATACACTCATTGGCTTTCAGAAAGATGAACACATACTATTTATAAATACAGGCATATAAGTACTAGTGTGTGATAGATACAGATTTTTAAAGCCTCATTGATCTTTTAATTACAAGATACACAATGTTATACTTGTATGATAGATGCTATTCATGCTTTCCATCCTTGGGCATATTTTGTTATGTAACTTTGGCTAGTAAAAATATTTATAAAAAAGAAAAACATTCATCTAAGGAGGAAAAACTAAGATGGAATCCAAGGTATTTATGTAAATTTTTGGCCAGTAGGCCTTTTTAATTGTGTTTAAACCTTTCAGGCTATTATATTTTCAAACAGTATGCAGGGAATTTATCTACAAAGAATAGCATTTGGATGGTGAGACAATTACATTATTATTGCTATTGTTGGCTTGAGGATTTTTTGAGCAAAGAAAAGTTCATGCTCTTTCTCTCCTTTTCTGTGTCTTCCATCATCTTCTTTCAAAACACTGCTTCTAAGCCTGCAACATGCTCAGAGGAAAATAATTCAGATCAAATTTTCTTTACGTAAAACAAAATACAGAGAGTGGCTGACAGCCAAGGCAGAAGTCACTCATATTTTAGACTTCACTTATTTCCTGACTATGTGAGTTTAAACAATATAGAGCAGCCAAGGAATATGTAAACTATATCCCATTTTTGTAACTCTTTAATGTGTCTGTATTCCTTGAAAAAGCAACATGAAGGCAATTTTCTTGTTATCTTTCACTTATACCTTTATATGTACTATATACTATATGTAGTCTCTCCCAAAAGTCCTCAGACTCATATACAACCTTATGTAGTAACTCTGGCTGAAACATTAAATGTCCCACAAAAATCAATAGTTAGTGCTTGGGCTAGAGAGATGACCCAGTAATTAAAAGCACTGACTGGTCTTTCAGAAGACCCATGTTTGATTCCTGGAACCCATTTGGCAACTAACAACTGTCTGTAACTTAAGTTCTCTGGGATCAGATACCTTTTTTACATCTCAGCTGATACCAGGCATGCACAGGGCACACAGGCATATGTGCAGCCAAAACATCCATGCACATAAAAATAATAAAATATTTTTAAATGAATTAATTCTTACCAAAGCCACACCACTAGGATGTGGCCACCACCATAAGTTCACTGGTAAAACAAGATGCCACTACAGCCATGTGATTAGAATGCTAGAATACATATTTCCTAACATGTGAGAGGGCTTATAAACAGTCACACACACACACATAGTACAGAAACAATGAAACGGATATTCTTTCCTAAACACAAACATGTATACGTATTATTCAACCTCATGGTATATGATTAAGTGGTTATTATATCCTTACCTATTAAGCCTGGAACACCAGGTCGACCACTTTCTCCAGTGAGCCCTCTGTCTCCCTTTTCTCCTGGGCGTCCAGGAGGCCCTTTAAAAAACCACAAATATTGACAATAATTAAAAAGCACAGGTAAGTTTATTATTTATAAAGACAGTTCAATGGAAATTCAAATATTTCTATTTGCTGCACATTAACATAAAATTAACAACTATGATCTTCCTAAATGGCTAAGTACCCTGCCATTGAGAACCATAATGTCCTCATCTGAAAAAGATGCCATAACTTTAAATTAACACAAATAAAATGTTTTTTGTGAGGTTAACATTTTGCTAGGTTCTAAGTACCTAGTGACAGAGAAAGGGGCACTGCAATAGCACAAAATGACATCAGTATTGTGCACATATTAAGAACTTATATATATAATATTTTTGGAGGTGATAAATATACATACATTTGTGTGTGTGAATGTATGTTAATATCACAACAATTAAAGGAATAGGAGAAATTAATGTGAATTACAGAAAGTAGGGTACATGGAACAGCTGGAGGGAGGAATTGGATGGGAGAAATTAAATGTAATTCTATTTTAATTTTAAAAATCCTAAAAAATATAAACTATGTGTTGATAAAATTAAGCCATTCATTTTCTAGATAGAATGAGTAAAATATAGACCATGTAGAACAATTGCAAGGCTGAAACAACACACAAAACTGGAAAATGGTGGCTTATATTAGGAGTTTTAAGAGAGATATAAAATATAAATATCTTATTTGAAATATTGTACATAAGAAAAATTAAGAGGAATTGTGCCCAGAGGTCTAAAAAGATGACCCCAATTAACAATCTAAGCAATAGTGGAGAGGATACCTTAAATGCCCTTCTCTGATAATAAGATTGATGATTACCATATACGCCATCCTAGAGCCTTCATCTATTAGCTGATGGAAGCAGAAGCAGACACCCACAGCTAAACTCCTGGAATCCAGTTGCAGACAGGGAGGAGTGATAAGCAAATAGGTCAAGACCAGACAGGAGAAACCCACAGAAACTGCTGACCTGAACAAGGGGAGGCTCATTGGACTCCAGTCTGATAGCTGGGGAACCAGCATAGTAGTGACCCAGATTTCCTGAATTTGGTGTTATTTTGGAGGACTGGGCAGTCTATGGGGTCTCTAGTAATGGTTCAGTATTTATCCCTAGTATACAAATGGACTTTGGGATCCACATAGAGGGATACTCCCTCAGCCTAGACACTTGAGGGAAGGCCTGGGTCCTGCTCCAAATGATATGAGAGACTCTGAGGACTCTCCATGGAAGGTCTCACCTTTCCTGAGAGGCAGAAGGAGGATGGGATGGGGGTTGTTGAGGGAAACAGGGGAGGACAGGAGGTACAGGAACTGGGACTGATATGTAAAACAAGTTTCTTTCAAATTTAAATAAAAAATTATTCTAAAGTAAGAGCAATGTATATGGTCTTTCTTGGAGCAAGAAACTACTTGAAGAATGAGACAATTTACAAAGACTAGAAAAACAACAGATTTGAGAATATAGATGGTTATGTTGATTAAGAGTCAATGTGTTGTGTGATATCTAACCAAACTCTCAAAGATATGTTTAATAAACAGGAAAGGGTAATAAATACCCACAGAGATAGATTGTGCAATGCTTTAATAACTTTACATTTTCTAAATGTTAATGAGAAAGGAAATGACAGCTGTGGAGAGACATTAGATAATAATGATAATAATCCCTGCTGAATATAATCATACTATATACTTTAAAGCTGCGCTGGTGTCAGAATGGAAACCAGGATATGTGTTATCTTGGGCAAGAGGTTTTGCTTTTGTTTACATAGGAGAAGAAAAGCTATGAATACCATCAAAGTTGATAAATATAAGATTCAAACATGAGATACCTCTTGAATAGAAGAGATGATATATAGTCCATCTAACAGTGTGACCATTCAATCTATACTAATGTAGAAGACTAAGAAATGATTTTCATTTTATAAGATGTAATTTGCCAAAAAGGAAACCCCCAAAGTTAGGCAGGGTTTTGTTTTTGTCTTTCCAGGAGAATGAAGGCATCAAGCCAAGGGATCTGAAAACCCCTGGACAAATGAGACAACTGAAGGAAAAGGACACATCACCCATAAAAAATGTCCCAAGAAAAACAGTAATTGGCCTTTGGTATATCACGTTTCCAACAGGATAACATTTCATAAATATTCTCGAATATTTGTTTCTCCTATTCTCTACAAACATATAATACAAATTATATGTAGTTCCAATTCAATTAAAAATTAAAGTTGGCTTTTGTGTTGGAGTGTGGCTCTCACCTTTTCTAAAATCTGTCTCATGTCAGAAAAGCTACCTGATATGGGATAGAAGCAAAACCAAAATTAAGGGACTATTCTATTGCCACTAATCTCATAATCCTTTGGTTTTATTTCGGCTCTTTAAACCTTTTAAGTTATAAATATTATCTCAAAATTTATATGATTAATATATACATATATATTTTAAATGTTTTGCCACACTATTAATAGTCATAAAGAGTTTTTTCTTTTGGAGTTGAGTTTCTATCAGTAAACTAGGAAAGAAGGGTTTGTATTCTTGATGTACATAACAAATTGTAGTCCTTTAACCTCTTTGAGATCTGCTGCATGTGACATGTAAAATGTTTAAGTTTTGTGCAGTGAACCATGATGATGCCTAAGAGTGACAGTGACTTTTCAAGTCTCCAAAAGGAGGATGGGGCCCTACACCAATGAAATCACCTGAATTCTATTAAACTGACAAACACCACCCAAAGACTGGCTTTAGACTACAAACTGCTCTGGACAATTTCAAGATGGCTAAGATGGTCTAGCCTCACAGACTACTCTAAGCAGGACGTGAGATAAGCCCTGTACTTTCCCATTACACAGAGACTAGACAACTTACAGTTGGCTCTTCTAGGACTTGACAATTTTTTCAGGACCCCCTAAAGATGCCATTACCCCCAGACAACAAGAAATAGTTTTGAGAACATGTCACCCACATTTCCAAGAGGAGGGGTGGGCAATTTTTGGTAGTTCAGTAGGTTATGGATATTTGTCATCATTTAAGGGAGTTGGTTACAAGTTGTCATTGACAATGGTCAGGAAAGGCTGGAAAAAAGACATTAGATTCAGGGGTCTTGTACTGAAAAGTAAAATGGAAGATATAGAAATGATAGGATAAAAGAATAAATTATTAAATCTACATTTAAACCCAAAAGGCAATTACTAGTCTTAAATATTTTACAATGGTATGGATTTTTGTATATTGATAGAAATTTGAGGGAGTTTTGGTTAGAACTTAGTGTACATATGTTTCTACTCTTTTTAAAGTACCTATACAGCTCATTTAATAATGAAATGTTCATTTCTAGTGCTTGAAAGTTGCTATTTTTACAAACTGTTTAAGATAATAAAGAAATGTAGGTTAACAGTCACCTATTATAATTAAAAGTAGTCACGTTAGTATGTTTGCAAGGTCAAACACAGATATATGTCAAGACAAGTGGTCTTCAAACACTTCAAATATCTACAGAATATGGCATTTAAAATGTTTCAATAACAAAAGGGTTTTTTTTTTTTATTGTTGTTTTGCTTTGTTTCTATGACAATGAGTCATGACTGCTCCTGGAATCACCAATCTATTTCAGAGAAGATGATTGACATCAAAGAAACTTTACTTTCTTTTTGATAAAGTTTACTTTCTTTTTGATAAAAGTTAGCCATTGGTCAAGAAACTATCCTTGTCTCAACTGCTGACAATATACCACCCAAAACAGACAAGTAGGACAAAAAAAAAAAAAAGAAAAGAAAAGAAAAAGAAAAATGACTGTCAAACCTTGCCAAGAAAAGGTGGGAAAATCCTTTAAATTTACTGTGTTTCAAAAACGTCTGTCCGATAATTTTTTCCCTGTAAGGCAAAGATGGATGCCACAATATTACAGAGGCACCTTGGGTAATTGTCCAGGCAGATAGCCAGACAGCTGTTTTTGTCATTTCTTGATTTTGTAAGTTGTTTACTCTGTACTTCCTATTTACTCAGGTAATACATCCTTCTTATGTCTCTGATGAAGTTGGACACTAAATATAGTTTTCCTTGTTATTAATTTCAGAAAAGCAACTCACAAAGGGGTACAAAGTATATGAGGTTGAGAGACATGAAGAGAGTTTTGGGTCAATATGGAAGTTAGGATATAAAGTAAATAAATATAACACATTGTACTCACCAAGATAGGATAGATAACGGAGTGTCAAAGGCAAATGGACTGTACATTACTAATTCTTGCCTGTATATATTTGCATATATTTATTGTATGTAGTTTTATGTTATTTAAAACCTTTGCTTTTTATTTAGACAAAAGCGGCAAGTGATGTGATATTTTGATTGTGGTCTGTCAAATAAAGCTTGCTTTTAGTCAGAAAGTAGAGCTAGCCACTAGATGACCAAAATTAATCATAGAAGTTGGAGGATTGTAGACAGAGAAGAGACAGGTAGTGGTGAGGCAGGGCTGAGAGAGGATCTCAGCCCTTTTGGATGTAGGAACAGTCGTGGTAGAAAGTGATTGTGGCTGCTCCCCTGTTTCTCTGCTCTTCCAGGGATTTTTTCCCCCTGAATATATGACTACTGATTTTTTAATTGATAAAGATTAGATTCTCACTTGTCAAGGAATTGATATTTTCAAAGTGTGGGACATAGTTTGAAATGCACAATTGAAGTAGCCAATTATTCAAAGGCTGATGAATCTAGACTTTTCTTTACTGTGTGTTTTAATGTACTACTAAAGAAAGAATGGGTATGACATGCACTGTACATAAGCTACAAAGTATAGTAGTAAAGAAAATATCCTAGCAACAAGCTGACACCAGGCATAGAAATGAGCCACGTGATCAAGATTCATGCCACTACTTCATTTCCAGAGAAAAACATTAACTTGAAATTGGCAGATATTATCTTTCAATTTGAAAGCATCATTTTTTATTACATATCAATATATCTGTAATATCTTTTATATTTGATAAATTGTGAAGTTTTAGAAAACTTAGGACAAAATATATAAATTGGGATACAACATTGCATAGAGCATATATGAGTCTCCAGATTCAATCTGCACACCAATAAATAAATGATTAAGAGAAAAAAGTTAGCAATGAATTAAGTCAAATTATACTGTATAGACAACAGGTGCTGATTTTAAGTTTCATTGGTCTTAAGGTCTGAATGACCCTACTTCTTAATTGTATTAAAATAGTAAATGTTTGATAAAAATCTCATGTGGTTATGAATTTCTAATGTAATTATTAATGAGGCAAAAATACTGACATCCTCAAATAAAGCTTAATGGACATAGGAGATAGAATGAGACTGTCCAATTTTACTTCAGTTATTTTCTTATAGATTCTTGTATATATCTTGAAAATTCCCTAAGAGACACTGTAGAGCAAATATCACGCAGCATTTCCCTTTTATTAGTTATAATAAATAATTCAGCAATCATTCAATTTACATATAATAAAGAGCAAATACTGGGTGCTTAATTACACACACACACACACACACACACACACACACACATATATATATATGTTTAATATTCAGAAGCCAAATCCACATCAATTATCATCCTCATAAAATCACCAAAATAATTGTGGACATAAAAGTGTATATGGAATAAGACAAAATAAGAAAATGAATTTCCAAATTATTATTTTATGCAGAAGGAAGGTGACCCAGAAAAGATGGATGACAAAGATTTTTTTCAAATGATTAATTGGCTAGCTTAAGGGCAAGTCTGAATAAATTCTTTTAACAAAAAGTAAGATGAATAATATAGACTAAACTCCAGTTTGCAAAAGTTCATAACATAGAAGTGAAGTGTAATCTCGAACAGAGGGGCAAGGGAGTGTGTCATGAAGCCAAGCACTTTCAGTTCCTTCCTTAACTCAGTTACCTTTTAAGATGCTGACTAGTGTTAACATATGTCACAACACATTTCAACAGTGATCAAGATAAGCAGCGTGTATCATAAACTTTCCAAACCCTTTTTGGTAACTTTGAAGAAGAGATAAATTCAGTACAAAACAATCCACATCAACTATAGAAAAGGCAGAACAGGAAAGGGTGAGAGACATAAATCAAGCTGGAAAATGGAAAACAACAACACAAAGAAGTAGAAATAGAGGCAGGGAAAAGAAGATGTCAGACTGTATTTTCAAAAACAAGATTTTTTTTTACAGGAGATAAACTTTAAAAACACACACCAGAAAGTTAAAACTATAAAAAGTTATCCATATAGTGAAAAAAACTAAAATCTAATATGTAGACATAAAGGACTTATTCTTACTAAAGGATAAGTTTCATTGCAATTGAAGATATTGATAGATCTATGACTATCTTGAAGAATTCAAGAGGCATTTTAATTAAAGTATAGTCAGATAAGAAGTAACAGATGTTTTGTGCTTACATAGTCATCATCTCTCCTTTATTTTTTGAGACAAGCTCTCACTGTGAAGTCTACTCTGGCCTTGAACTTGTGGTGGCCTGCTGCCTGAGCCTTCCCAATGCTGACTCACTATCTCTGGTTTTACATTTCTCTTTAAGGAATTCTAGGGTGTGGGGGACCCTACCATGTCTGGCTTCATATTACATGTTTTGAGCATTTGTATTAACTGTATCCTCAAAAACCATTTAAACGACAGAAGTCTGTACATAATGAATGATACATTTTAATGTCTCGTTTTCAGATGAAATGTCTTACCTTGAATTAAGGTGATATTTTTCAGTGTCTGCGAGTGTTCCCAGTCCTTCAGCCTGAGGTCATTAGTGATGTTATTCAATACTTTCATTTCCTCTTTTATTTCCTGTTCCACATGTTCTTGTTCTTCTTTTACAGACTGGATTTCTGCTGAGAGTTTCTGCACATGCTCCTCTAACTTACTGATGTCCTGTAAAACATCATAAGCATCTCAACCTTTGTTACACACAGTTAGCAAATGTGTATGTGCACAGAGATTTTGAAATTTGGATGCTTATGTTTCAAAAGCATATAGCATTGGGTGAGTGCTTTGGGATAAGAATAAGAAAATGGGTGATCAAAGGTACAGCTCTCTGGCTGCAAAGCATTTCTTCTTCTGGATAAATAGTTTATTAAGATCTCTAGTCGAGACAAATAAAATTGGTTGCCTATACATCTAAGAATTCTTCTACTCCCAAATATACAAATGTTAATATTGAAAATTAAAAATCAGATCTTGCCATGGGAGTTCTAACTTATCTAAAGTAAAATTTCTTTATAGTTCATTTGGGGCAAAACATTTTTATTTTATGAAATTGTTTTATAGTAACTACTGAAGTTTAATATAATTCTGAGTGATAATGACAAGGATAGAATTTTATATTATTTGTAAGATGTTCAAGTTGCATTTTCATAGTATTTTACTCTCAATTTTTATTGCTTCTGCTTTTGATTCTTTCTTATTTTCATCTATTATAAATACACCATCTCCAGATGCATATATACATGCACATGTGCACTGCATGTACAGCTGTTTTCTTTTTTAATGTTTATCTGAGATGGAATCTTGTGCACCATTTGGCGTTAAGTGGGTTATTTAGCTAAGGGTGATCTCCAACTCCTGATTTTCTTCCTCTACCTTCTCAGCACTGAGATCACACACATGTATTAGTTAGTGTGTGTGTGTGTGTGTGTGTGTGTGTGTGTGTGTGTGTGTGTGTGTATAGTTCCATGTAGAAAATACATGAACATGCCTGCTCAAATGTTGGCTGAACAAGGAACAAATGAGGTTTCAACCCTATAAAAAGAATTCTAGGTAACTGAGGAAAGCTGGGAGCAGTAACAGTGGCCTTATTCAAGGAATAGCACACCAATTGGTTGTTCAGTGCCAAATGGTAAGTCTGAAAATATACATACAGGCAGCATTATATACACTGGGCTGTTATATACACTGGGTTGTTCTTAGGGACACTTAAGTATATACATATACATGTATTAATAACATAACAGTTAGTGAAAGAGAGGGCAATTGATTTGAAAGATAAAGGGAGAAAGGTATAGATGCTTAGAGGGAAGAACTTTAAGGGATAATTTCAATTAAATTATGATCTCAAAATATAATTACAAGAGTATTTGCTAGTGTAATAAGGTTCTGTTTGCTTGCTTGTTTTGTAGTGCTGGGTTGAACCCAGGATCTTATGTCTGCTATGCCATCCCTCTACCACTGAGCTAGAATTTCAGACCAATATACCTCATCTGGAAAATAACTTCATCAAGAGTGATGTTTCTGTTGGTCTTTTATTTTTGAGATTGTAATATTTTCCCCTTATTTTCTCCCTACAAACCCTCCCTGGTCTCCTTCAAACTCATTACAATTAATGAAAAAAGAGGTCATCATGAATTTGAAGAATCATTCTTTACAAGGAAAATACCAACCATGCTGGTATTGTTTAAATATTGATAAACATAGTTTTCACATAAGGATTCCAAGTCTTAAATATTTTATGCTATATATGGGTAGTGAAGTTTTAGTCAAGTACTTAGTTTTTAATGAAAAGTAACAACTGGAATTACTCAGCAAAAATACAATTACAAAACAAATGCTTGTTTTTCATTTTTTTGTTAACTTTTCTTTTGTTCTTAATATCTCTTTCAGGAGAAACAATCAATCCAGATCTTAGCCAGCATTAACCAGTTGGTTGTTTCTACTCTGTCAATCCATGGACTATATAGTCCCTTCAGTCTAAAGTTTTTTCCATCTGACCTAGAAGGAATCTTTACTAACAACTGTCCTAAAGAATATTTCTCTTGGCAATCAGTCTTATTGTATACTGACTATTGTGCAGCCATGGTTTTATTGATAGTTAGTGCATGCCACAGCTCAAACAGAAGTAAAAGACAATGCATGTTGAGTGTTATGATTATTGTAAGTCTACACTGTTACCCTATTAAGAAATCATGCTGAAAATATTTTCAAATTTTAATTTTAATTACTGGTACAATAAAACTTGTGTATATCTTCTAGAAATGGCAAAATAAATTATCTAAAAATTCTACATCATAAGATATCCATATAAATAACATTAATAATATTTGATGATAAGGAATATTAGATTATTCATAAAATTCACACATACAGGTATTTACATTTCTAATTTATGTTCTGGTCAGCTTAATTTTATAATTGGTGTATTCTAACAAGGCAATATATGGTATTTATAATATAAAAACACCTTCATAGTCTAGATCCATTGGAAAATATTCCCCTTTTGCTGGGAGTCTGGTAAAGTTACCAATTAAATCTATAGAGACCTTTAATTATATTAACAGAGGAGTTGATATCGGTAGGTGAAGCAGAAAACAAGTTCTGTTCCTCTGCTTTCTGAGTTGCTCAAAGAAACAGAATCTGGATGGATTTAGTTCTAGAGTCAACCATGCAGTTGTCCTCTGAAATACTTACCTCGTGTTGCTTCACCGTAGATTCGTTGACTTTGCAGTTCAGTGTTTCTGAATGGAGCTGGACATCAAGCAGTGTAGTATTGAGACTCATCAAGGACTTGGAAATCTCATCTAGTGAATTCCCATGCTCCTGGACTGATCCAATCAAGGAACTTAACTGCTGCAGAACATCATTAAGTCTTTGGTCAGTTATCATACTAAAATTCTGGAAGCGTTGTGCATCTATGAGGTTGTCCTTTGAGTCTGCCATGCTTTGGATTCTCTCCTCCATGTCTTTCATGTGTTCCACAACAGCTGTAAGTCTCATCTCAGCATTAGTGGTGTTTTCTTTTCCAACCAAACTTTGAGATGTATCACTTGTGTTAGTTGAAGCAACTAAGCAGTTCTTCATTTCCCAATTGATAAACTGAGCTGAATATTTAAATAAAAATAAACCAAGTCACAGCCAATATATCATTTTATACTCATCAATTTAAAAATGCATTGTTTTATTAGGATATTTTCACCTGTTGCAAAATATTTAATCATAGCAGAAAATTTGAAAACAAATTTATCAGATATATTGTTAATATAAACATCTGTTTGCATATTTATAATTATTATATTAATTAGTTAGTGATATAAATGTTCTGTATATAGCTCAGCTTGACCTTGAAACTGTTATACAGCCAAGGCTAATGTCAAACTCATGATCCTCCTGCTGTAGCCTCCCAAGTCCTAAAAATCACAGTATCTAGAAACTGCCTCTTAATTTAGCATCATAATAAACATTTTTAAGATTTTTACTTAATAATTTCCCAAAAACAATTTGGTAAGCATATTCTATACTAGGTTATATCTGCCAGGTTTGCTTAGAAATTCCTTGAATTAAGTTTGCTTCTGTTTTCAGTAACACATTTAATATTTGAAAAGCAGTCTTGTGATGAATCATATCTGCAAGAGTAATTATTCTATTCAATGGAATTGTGGACCATAATACATTGCTGATTCATCCAAATGGGCATATGTTCTCTAAATGAGCTACTTATCCTTTCAAAATGGTATGGAATATTTTTCATAATTTATAAAATAAAGAAAAATGAATGGAAATAAAAACATTGTCATTAAAGATAAAAATTTCACACACTGTAATTATAGAAAAAGTAAATATTGAAGTATGTTTTACCACTAATTCATAATGATAGAAGATAGTTAAGGGAAAATCAACAAATTACAAGGAACCACGTGAATATTTTTTCTGCATATTTCTTTTATGTTCTTATAAGTTTGTGGCATAACATTTTCCACATACATCATAGAGCAGCAAAAGTATATTTTCATATAGTCAATGTATTTAAATGTACATCTGAACCTGTTGAATTTAGTGCAACCAGTGTTACAGAGTTTTTGAAAATTAAACTAGTCAATAGAAAAATCTATGTAGTATTATCACCAACTTTGTGTTTACACAGAACCAACGTTTTGATTTTGGAAACCAGATCCATGCCTTACTTGCTATTCTGATTGCTGCTCTTGATTAAATTTCTTCAATCAACTTAAAAGTTCTATCAGGTTCAACAGTGGTTGAGATCGAGTAGAATTAATATGTAAAACTTATCACTGGTAGCTGACATCCATAAAAATTCTACTTAGTTACAACGTGGTAATTGCCGGGCACGCATATACTAGTACTAGCCTTTAGATCCAGATCACAGCAATGACTTAACTGCGGCGGTCTTAATGAGAATGGATTCTGAACACTCACATGTTAGAGATTTGAATTCCACAGTTGGTATAACTGTTTAAGAAGGATTACGAAGTGTGATCTTGTAGAAGAGATATATCACTAGATACCAGATTTGAAGTTTCTAAGGGTGTGGGCCATTCTAGTCATCTCTTTCTTCCTCATGGTTGTGTCTCAAGATACCAGCTTTCAGAACCACGCCTGCCTTCCTCCTCCTGAGCGCTTTGCCATGACAGCCATGGGCTCTAATTCTCTGTTATAGTAACTGCAAGCCCCAAGTTAATGCTATCTTTTATAAGCGACTTGGTCATGGTGTCTTATCACAGCAATAGAAAATTTAGACAGTAACTATCCAAGCAAATTAAATAGATAAATAAAAACCTTAAAGTACAGATTACTTCCTTGTAATACAGATGTATAAAAAATGCCGCAAGGACACCGCCAGTGGTCATACCAAAGTAGACAGGGATAAGTGTTGTTCTTTTTTAATTGCTGCTACCTTTTAAGCTACGGCTATATCCTATTCAGCAATTGCCACTCTGCTACTATCGGCAGCTAGTAGGCCACCAGAACTGAAGCTTCAGGGAATTGTTCACCCAGGCATTGACTCTTTAAAGCTACTAAGGAAACTTACTTAAATCTCTGTCCCACTAAAGAATTCAAGATTCAAAGGTTGAAGTAAAATCCTCTTTCCCGGAGAGGCTGAATAGCAAGCAGCTCAACTCCTCCGGCTCCCAAGAAGTTCTTGCTTGTTCTGGACCCTTATTATGAACCCTTCTCCACCTGGCTCCTCCCTACAACTTCCTGTCAGTTGGTTGCTGATCCAGCATCTTGACCGCAGGTGAATTTTATTTAATCTAACACATCTTTGCATCATTAAACAAATGTTCCAGTGCAGAAACAACGGCAACACACCTTAAAATAATATTCTACAACAGAAACGCCCACAAGGCCTCATCCTGACACAAAAGTATAGGCAGTTAAAAAAAAAAAAAAAAAAAAAAAAAAGCTGGGAGTAGGAGAGGTGATCCTTCTCAAGGAAGAACACACCAATTGTTTGTCTAGTGTCAAAACAATCAGTGCTGAAGCCATATATACAAGTAACAATATACAGACTAGGCAGGCTGTATTTTAGAAACATACATGCATGCACATATATTCATATGCACGTCATAACAATAGTGAAAAGAGGCCACTAATCTTTAGGAGAGTGCGGAGTGGTTTATGTGAGGGTTTGGAGGAAGAAAAGGTAAGGAAGGATTGTTGTTAAATGTAAAATTAGGTTATAATCTCAAAAATAAAATTAAAGGAGAATGTCAGAGTTTATACTTTCAAAAGAATACTTTTCAGTTATTTCTGGAGAGAAGGCATTCTTCAATGTAGCTGTTTTACACAGACGTCAAACTTTTATGGCATATATAAATACCTATGGAGCTGGTGATATTTGATTCTACATATTTGGTTTACTCTTTTGTGTTGGTAATATCGTTCCCTACCCAAAATTTATATTATCTTAAAAAGTAATCTCTATTTCAGTTGCAATTTATCCACTTCCATTCTAAAACATATCTTTCTGCCCTGCTCCAGTCTTATAGTGTTATTTTTCTATCAGGAATACTTTACCTTCTTTAAGAAAGATGTCATATAAAGTTGGCCATGAAAACTGAAATCCAGATGCAGATAGGGAGGACAAGACCAGAAACTCACAGAGACAGCTGACCCGAACAAGGAGGAGCTAATGGACGCCCAGACTGATAGCTGGGAATCCAGCATTGGACCAACTCAGAACCCCGGAACATGGGTCTCAGTTAGAAGGCCTGGGCAGCTTAAGGGACCTCTGAGAGTGAAACCAGGATGTATCCCTCGTGCACAAAAGGACTTTGGGATCACATTCTCCACAGAGGGATACTCCCCTAACCTAGAGGCAGAGGGAGGGCCTAGTCTCTACTCCAAATGACTTGACAGATTTTGTGGACCTCTCCTGGAAGGCATCACCCTCTCTGTGGAGTGGAGGGGTGGGATGGGAGGGTGGTCCAGGGGCATGGGAAGGAGGCAGAGAAGGAGGGAGGAAGTGAGGGAGAGGGAACTGGGATTGATATGTAAAATAAGAAGTAAAAAAAAGTGGGCCATTAAAATAATAAACAACTTTTCACATATGAGATACTTTAAACTTGAATAGTTTTATGTTTACCAACACAACTATCAATGTGTTGTAGCAATGCTTTCACCATTCTATAATTGTAGTCTTTTGAGATCATGTCTGTATATGCAATACATTTTAACTCTTCTTTAAAAGACTTTGTGATTTGGTACTAAGAATGATACATGCATTACGTTACCTATTATTGGTACATGATAATTGCTATGAGTTCTGCTCAAAATCTGGTAAATGTGGTACTGGTATTAATTTATAAGATTGGAACATTCTATTTCCTATCTGTCTTAATGGATTCCTACTATAATTTTAAGAGACAGAAAATGACAGATCAATTACTATCTACTCCAGAGCAAATGTTTGATTGGTGATATTTCATAATGACCCAAGATCTTTGAACTTGGTTACAGCCATGGATACTTTTCAGACTTCTGTCTCCCTTGATTGGACCAATCAGAGACTACAGTCTTTTAGGCTCTGTAGACCATGGTTTACATAAAAAGATGGAATTTACTCAAATTCTACCTGATGTATATTTGATGAAAGGGCACTTCATTCAAGTTTGTATTTTACACTGCATATAAGCATGTATACATGAACAATATGTAGATAATCTTGTTTGTTGTCTACATTACTAGAAAGTTCAGTTCTCTTTATTCAATAACTGCCATTTGTTTGCTGTTTGCTTTGGTTGTGTTTTTAATGGCTAAAACAGGAGCTGTTTTTTGGTTTTTTGCTTGTTTGTGGGTTTTTCTGTAGAAATAGTCTCTTGGATAACATGACAATTCTATTGTCATGGTTTTTTTCTAGACAATGATGTTTTATTATATAATAACCAAATTATAGTGGGAGCCAGTAGAGGAGAGGTTAGGACACAAAAGTCATAGATGGGAACACATGCTCCATTACCAAGGAGTTTCAGTTTTCTGGTGTGTATAATGAGGATAATTATAGTATCTGCTGATAGGATAATTGTAAAGATATATTAAGATATTACATTTAAAGTTTAGAGCCCAGTGCTTGGGCATAGTAAATTTTGGAAAATGATAAAATGATAGTTACTTTTACAATTGTTGTTGACTTCCTTAGCTTTTCTTTCTGAGTAGAATATTGAATCTGTTTTGAGATACTCTCTCAGATTACCCCATACAAAGGAAGTTTGGTTTTGCATTTAGGACTATTTTCTTGGGTAGATTAGCATGCACATTCAAATGAACTTTTCCTAGGCTTTTCTGTTGGAGGTGCATGTAGCAAATATATTAGAGAGGATCATAAAGAAAAGGACAATGATTAGACCAATGAATTTGAATGTCAGTTAAAATACAACACATCTGATCTCAGGAGGTAGCTCAGTTGGTAGACTGTTTTCCTAGCATGCAGGTTGTCCTGAGTTCAATTCCAGCACCACATAAACTAAATGTGTTGATGTTCCTAATCTCAGTACTCAGAGGTAGAGGCAGAAGGATCTGTATTCAAGGTCTTTCTTAGGTACAAAGCAAGTTAGAAGAGCCAGCCTGGGATTAAAATCATTTAAAAATGTTATCCCAGTTCAAGCAGACTTCTTAGAGAAATATGCATGGGAAAATATCACATGGAACCAAAATAATAAATCCTATTTTTTAAAATCCTAATAGATGTTGTCGTGATATTGTTAAGATATGTTTAAATAATAGCACATGAAATATATGAATTAGATAGAGTAATTTTTCCAAAAGGTGATATTATCATCTACTTTCTGCATTTGATGTATAAAACTTTCTGAAAAGCAGGCATGCTTTTCTGGGATAGACATTGTCAGTATAAACAACTACACTTGTTTGCATATTGACAAATATTTCCCAAACAGAATACTAGATTCTCTTAACGTACTTTAGAAGATGCTGGAGATACAATAATAAAACCATGGTTAACTTCATTCTCTATGGGGAGCATTTTTATTATATGACTGGAATTTCAGGAGTGTTGTTTTCCTACATTAGAAGTGTTCAGAACTATAGAGTATAATATACTTTTGAGATAGTCTAAATCTTACCAGCCCACTTTCTTTTAAAAAATTACCAAGTTAATATAAAATTTCAATTACATTTACATGTAACAGCAATGAGCAATTGTTTTGTAAAATAAAAATTCATTAGCATTTGCAAAAGCAAGAAGAGAATCCAATCTCAACTGTGTCTACAAGTACATGTACAAGAGTTATGTAAAACTTTGAAAGAATAACAATGATCTAAATAAATGAAGATATGCCCAATGCATTATGCTATGGTTGCTTAAAGTTTACAGGCATGCATACATGCACACAGTCACAGAGAAGTTAAATGCAATTTTTCCACTTAGTAATATAATACTCCTTCCTGCTCATTATGCCTAGCACTGTAAACTTATCCCAGAGAATGTACTACAGCCATTTCCCTACTCCAGTAAAATTTCTAACTGCATTCTAAATACTAACCTATGCCCATAGGTAAGTGAACCTCATCACTGCTCATCAGAGAAGTTATCTGCAACCCAGTGGATTGAGATTATTACAAAAAAATTCACAACTAACCAAAATGTAGAGAACAACTTATACTGGTATACCTATCCCTAATTGGTGCATCTAAAACACAGCCTGTACATCTGAGGTTCATAGAACATCACAGAAGAGGTGACACAAAGACTGAGACCAGGAGGATCAGGTTGTCAGCCAAGAGATTGTTTTCTTCTTTGCATGACATGGATCTGCACCAATGAAATGTTAAGGGCATGATCACCTAAACAAAACCCGAAAAATGACACCACCAGTTGGCATTTCAGTATAGATGGAGGAAATCTCATAAGGACTTAATCCTCGATGAAGAGCTAGCTATTGGCAATTAATGACTTCTGGTAAAGACTCAATCATCTGTAGGAATGAGTGCCCTGATACATTATCCAATCACAAGAGTCTAGGTCAGATCGAAATAAATATACATTTGAGCAACACTAAATGAACTCACAGGGCATATATATACATACACACATCGTACATACATACATACAAACATATATTCACAGTTATGTATATTTATAATTATTATATATTCATGATTTTATATATACATATATACCAATAATAAAGAGTATTAGATAACAATATTTGAGAAGGACTCAGGGGACAAGCGAAGAAGTAGAGGGAGCAGAAAGAGAGAACAGAACAAATGTAAATCTAGCCCACTTTTGTTATGTCAATATGTTTATTTTACTCCTATATTTCAGTTGTAAAATTAAAAGAGCTTGTTTCTACTTACACCACAGAATCTATTTTAATTGCATTTGTTGAAATTAAGAATGCTATATATATGAAGCTTCATTATGAATCTATCATACAAAAACCACTATAGCTCTGCTTTTACAATGAGCAGATGAACAAAGTTTCAAAATCCTGGGATACTGTACCTGCTACTATCCCAATGAGCGGTATGAGAACGGCAAACACAAGAAGGTAGAGGGCAACTAGAGCATTTTTGAAGGACTTCAGCTTCTCCTGATATGAAGACCCATTTTTAGGATCTAAAACAAAGCAAAAGAAAACAGAACAAAATCCCAGCCCATTATTGAAAGCCTTAATTTAAGTCTCGGTACCTGGTGCTGGGTATAAGGTTCAGCAGGTAAAGTACTTGCTGCAGAAAAAAGAAAGCATGGTTGTATATGATTTCCTATTTGTATATCTCACATGATTGGATTGTAACGTACAATTATTTTAAATGGGACAAAAAGTAATTTACATTTTGACCAAACTTTGGAATGCACCAATGAAACCCATCCTCTGGATATATCAGGATGTAATAACTATATTTGTCTATATTTATATGAAAAAGGAATTCCTATAAAGGTATGTTGACTGCAGTAGGGCTATGAGGATACAGAGGGAAAAGGGTAGATTATTAATGTACTTTGTGTGTGTGTGTGTACTTGCATATTTGACTGTGTGTGTTCATTTGGGTTTCTGTGGAGGTTCATGGTCAGTGCTTAGATACTTTCCTCTTTGATGCTTTTCACTCTTCTCTTTTGAGACAGGGTCTCTCATGGAACCTGAATTGCACTGGTAAATTGAATAGACTGGCTGACCGAGGTGCTTCGGGGATCTTCCTGTATTTGTCTCCCCAGGACTGTGTTTAGAAGAGAGTTCTGCCTCTGCCACCCTCAGCTTTTTATATAGGTTCTGAAGATTCAAATTCAAGTAGGCAACTCCCAAGTTTCTTTCCTGACATAGTTTCATATAGCCCAGGCTAGCATTGTACTCGCTATGCACCTGGAAATGGCCTTTAACTCATGGTTCTCCTGCCTCTACCTCCTAAGTGCTGGAGTTATGGATTTGTACTGCTTCATTCAGTTCTGTTCAATTCGATTCTGTGAGACATGAAAAAGGAAAGAAATGAACATTTTAAAAAAGTAGAGTCAAGAAAAGTAGAGAATGAAAATTAAAGTAACAACCTATTATTAAAAAACAAGTTGGAATTGTCTGTATTTCAGGCTAACTGAATGGGAATCTTGTTTGTACACTCTTATGTGCCTGGTGCATATGGAGGTCAAGGGTCAGATACCCCTGGAACTGGAGCTGCAGATGATTCTGGGCTGACATGTGTAGGCTAGGAACCAAAGCCAGGTCTGCTGAAGTAGCAAGGGCTCTAAGATACTGAGCACTCTGTCCTTTCCACTTTATTTTTGAGACAAAGTCTCTCACTGAACCTGGAAATCATCAATTATATTGGACTGGCTGCCCAATAAATATAGGGATATTCCTGTGCCTTTCCCACACTGGAATTACAGGTATGAACTATCACATCTTTTATCTAAGAGCTGAGATTTGAACCTGTGTGTCAACTCAAATGTTTTACATACTATTTTCTCTACCTGAAATGTCACTAACTATTCTCTTTCCACCCTTCATCACAGATATGGGCATCAAGAATTAGTAGACTGATAAGCAATTCTGTTCTTTCACCTCAAGCCTGATCAGAAGCTGCTGAGCATTGTTTCTTTTGTGTTCCTGTCACAAGCTGATTCACTGGTTATATGTAGAATGTTATCTCCCAAGAAGATATCCATAAATACTAGCTCTTGATAACAATGAAGGTGATTTTAATTGGAACTTGTTTCACTGAAGATGCACATTCATACAACAAGGACATCTGTTTAACTATATTCATAGCAGCATTATTTGTAATAGCCAGAACAGAGAAACAACCTAAATGCCCTTAACTGAAGAATGGATGGATAAAATGTGGTACATTTGTATAATGGAGTACTACTGAGTGGAAAAACACAATGGAATCTTGAAATTCACAAGGAAATGGATGGAACTAGAAAAAACCATCCTGAGTGAGGTAACCCAATCACAAAAAGACAAACATGGTATGTACTCACTCATGTGTGGATTTTAGACATAGAGGACAGTATCACCACCTATAATGCATACAACCAGAAAAGCTAGGAAACAAGAAGGACCCCAAGAGAAACATACATTGTCCCCAGGAGAAGGGGGAAGGGGCAATGTCGCCTGAGGAAATTGGGAGCAGGCAGGGGGAGGGAGAGAAGATGTTAGGAGAAAGGAGGGGAGAGGAAAAAATGAGGGAGTAGAAAAATTAAGTCAGGGGGAAGAATACAATAGTACAAGAAAAGAGATACCATAATAGAGGGAGCCATTATAGGTTTAAAGAGATATCTCACAGTAGGGAAATGTCCAGAGACCTACAAGGATGACCCCCAACTAACAAGCTAAGCAATAGTGGAGAGGCTACCTTAAATACCCTTCCCTGAAAATGAGATTGACGACTGCCTCATATGTCATCCTAGAGCATGGAGCCTTCATTCAGTAGCTGATGGAAACAGAAGCAGACACCCACAACTAAACACTGACATGAAATCCTAGAATCCATTTGCAAAGAAGGAGAAGTGATGAGCAAAGGAGTCAAGACCAGGCTGGGCAAACCCACAGAAACAGCTGACCTGAACAAGAGGGAGCTCACGAACCTCAGACTGATAGCTGGAAAACAGCATAAGACCAACCCAGACCCCCTGAATGTGGGTCTCAGTTAGGAGGCCTGGGTAGTATATGGTACCTCTGACAATGGAACAAGGATGTATCCCTAGTGCAGGGATGGACTTCAGCAACCCATTCCCCATGGAGGGATATTCCCTTAGCCTAGAGACATAGAGGAGGGCCTAGGCTCTACCCCAAATGATTTGACAGACTTTGATGATCCCTCATGGAAGTCCTCACCCTCCCTGGGGAATAGATGGGAGATGTGATGGGGGTATCTTTGGGGGGGCATGGGAGATGTGAGGGAGAGAGAACTGGGATCAATATATAAAATAAGAAAAATATTGAATAAAAATTTTTAAAGATAATAAAAAATAAAATAAAAAACAAAAAACAAAAACAAACAAACAAACAAACAAAAAAAAAAAAACCAAAGAATTGCCAAGCACTACTAGAAGCTGGGAAGAGATGTGACCTTTATATGACTTGTGTCCATTTGGACACCTTAATTTAAGACTTCTAGGGCAGAGAACTGTGATGAAACAACTAGTTCATACATTTAAGCCACCCAACCTACCACCTGTGTCACTCTGCCACTTTCCACTTACTGGGAGGAAGCAATGCAGTCATTGAGCGAGCATCAAATTTCACAGATTCTGAGTAGTTGTCCGTGTCCTCTGGTTCATCAGGGCAGAGTCTCTGTTGCTCTGTAGACTATCAAACATACAGAATATAGGAATCCCATATGAAATTGCTGAGGACAGTTTCATGCTGTTGCGAACTAAATTATAATTTAGATTCAATTTTAGCAAGCAAAATGTATAATGAAATACACATACTATATAAAGCACTATATTAACCTTTCTCATAACTTTTCATTGAAGTATAAAAAAGTCATATTTATGGGACTGGGTTATTGCCAATAAGGTCCCTGCTAATCAAGCATGAGTACCTGAATTTGGATGCCTATAATCCCACTGCAATGCCAGAGGAGATATAGTCCTAGTGCTCAGATGTGGAGAGAGGAGGATCTCCATCCAGCACTATGACAGTCAGTCAGTGCAACCCACTGGTGAGTCTCAGCCAGAGTGAGAGAGATTCCATCTCAAAATATATGGTGCAAAGAAACAAGACAATATCCAGCATCAATCTTTGATCTCCACATATAGGTACACACATGTGCACTTTTTTCAAACACACACTCACATGCACTCAGTCATATGTTACAAATTCATGAAAAACAGATTTAAGAGTTCAGGCATTTGAGGAATCATCACTGTGTTGTTCTTTGTAGAAAGACATCCGTGTTTACAGGCACGTGGTCTTTGCATGTGAGGAGGAGTAGCCGTACTTTTCTAACTACAAAATAATCCAAGCAGTGGAAAATAACTAGCTGAACAGAAAATAAATGATTTCCCTTAGAACAAATAGTTATATATGCTTGGGACAAATATTTCCTGTGAGTTTCTGCACTGAATTTATTAAGCTTCCTTGCCAAAGTATCGGTTTGTCTGTTTAGAAAGATAAAGTCATTAGACTTAAATGCACAGGAAAAGGTAACTTTTTTTTCTTTCCCTTCCAACTGGCCCTCTCTCCTTCCTTTCCTCCTCTTCTTCCTCTTTTCTCTCTCTCCCCAACTCTTCACAATTTCTTTATACTTTTGCATTATGCAACATAAATCTGTCCTTGTGTCATTCAAATTCAATCAATAGTCTACTGAGCAATGTATGCCTTTATCTCTAGTGACAGGTATAAATGTCTTGAGAAGGAACTAAACAGGCCACCATACAAAACTTCCTGATATTTGAGAGGGGAGGGTCAATAATTTGCAATTGTAGATCAGAAGGTACTAAGTCATAGTTGAGAGAAGCAAAGAGTCTGGTGACTACATATGACAGTATTGCACTGTATTTTTAAAAACAGCAAAAGGAACCTTGAAAGTTTTCACCAGAAGGAGATATATGCCACATTAAAATACCACATACTACACACACACACACACACTCACACACACACACAAACACACAAACACACACACACATACATACACACACACACACACACACACACACACACTTTTAAATTTATAAATTTAAATATGAGCATGATTAGCTCAGTGGTGAAACACTTACCAAGCATGTACCAAGTTCCATACTTACTTCCAGGTATACAAAATTACTTATTTAGGGTTCCTATTGCTGCAATTAAACACCATGACCAAAAAAGCAAATTGAGGAGGAAAGGGTTTATTTGGCATACACACCCACATTGGTATTCATCACCAAAGGAAGCCAAGACAGGAGCTCAAATAGGGCAGGATTCTAGAGACAGGAGCTGGTGCAGAGGGGTGCTGTTTATGGATTTGCTCTCTCCAGCTTGCTTAGCCTGCATTCTTAGGGAACCTAAGACCACCAGCCCAAGGATGGCACCACCACAACGAATGGGTCCTCCCCCATCAATCACTAATCAAGAAAATACCTTACAGCCAGATCTCTTTCTCTATTTTTATTTTATTTTAAATATTTTATTCATTTTATATACCAATCACAGTTCCCCTCCCTTCTCTCCTCCCACTCCTCCCCTGCTGCCACCTCCTTGCCGCCACCCCCCCCCCCCGCCCCCAACCTCTCCTCAGAGAGGGTAAGGCCTCCCACAGGGAGTAAACTAAACCTGTCACCTCAGGATTTTATGGAAGCATTTTCTCAATTGAGGTTTCCTCCTTCCAGATAACACTAATCTGTGTGTCAGGTTGTAATAAAACCAGCTAGCACACAAAAGTAAATAAATCGAATCAAATTTAACATTTTTACATTAAAATAAGTGTATTTAGTTAAAATACAAGGTTCTTTCTCTCACTTTTGTGTTTCTTTCTTTCCTGGTGTTAGTCATTAACATTAAGGCCTCACTCAAACTCTCATGCAATAGGCTGTCTGTTATTAAACTACATTCTTGGCTTTTGAAATTATACTTGTAAATAAGTAAAATGGAATACGTGATAAAATAAAATAAAATAATTTGAGATTGCAAACAATTTTGCAATTTGATTTTGGTAGAACGATCTGCATTTTAAGAACGTTCCCTGAAAAGATAGAGTAACTGTTTTCTTGGTCACAGTTCAGGTAGGATGCCTAAAATAGGGAGAATCCAACATCTTCTAATCTTTCTTTCCCCCCACCCCCAATGCTGAGGGATGTGTTTAGCACTGCAGTTTTAACTAAACGCATAACAATAACAGGAAACAAAACTCCAGCATAGGCTGGGACCACCACTCTTTAATAAAGGCACAAGCTGCTTTGAGAGATTCATTGACTAGCAAGGATGTGACTAAATCCCTGTCAATATACTTCTAAAAATAAGGCCAAAGAGATTATTTATTTGGCTGCTCACACTAACAATCTTTGGACATTGACCATTTCTGAGAATCAATTCCCAAAAATCTTGTGTTGTTCGGTCTGAGGATTGTGATCTTTACAGGATTTGGTCACTGGGACAAGGGAATAAAGGCAGGTAAGTGTAGGACCTGACTGAATCTTCTTTTTTTTTTTTTTTTTTTTTCAGGTTAGGCAAAATTGAAAAAGGAAGAAAAAGCCCAAACCAAACAGACTTTTAGTCTTAGCTGCTGTAGAGCCTGAAGCTGAAACAGCAGTCTTAACAAGATTTCCATCACAAAAAGATAAAAATGACTGATTTCAAGCCATGGTGGCACATGCCTACAACCTTACCATTTGCCTGTACTGTAACCCTGGCACTTGGGAGGCCTGTGCCACACTGTAGGACTGTCTCACAAGACAAGCAAATAGAAGCCCTAAACAATTGAGTAAATGAATGACAACCTTGGAAAGTGATTTTGGAGGAAGGCAATTTGGACCCTCTGATCCAGGCTCTCCTTCTGGTTCCTGTCTTTTAATCTATGTGGACAATGATTTCATTCATCACGCAAAACCGATGAGCAAGTAAACAAACAAAAAAGAAAGTTCATAATGAAACAGCTCTATAATCACTTTGAAACCACATCCACAGCTCAGGTACTAAAGAATGTGATGGAAAAGCCCTTGTTTGCACAGTTACCAAAGTCTTTTGTTATGGCTATTACTGGTCCTTCTCCAAAGCAGTAAAGAAGGCTTTAGTGTGTCTTTTGAGATATCCTGAATTCATTTTCACTGACAAGCAAAGGAAACATTGTAAGTCCTCCACTCTCTTTTCCATAGAGGAATGTTTATGAACAAAGATAAAGATTTTTGTGCCTGAAAAAAAAAGTCTACATTGAAAACTATGGGCTGGCAGATCCATGTCTGTTTTTGTCCAACATTTTATCACCAGTGCTTAAGACAACCTGGAACTTTGAATATAGTTTATAATTGTTGAGTGAATAATTGTGTAAGATTTTATCTGACTTTTCATCTCATGTTTTTGTTTGCCAAACAAAGTGGATATTTGTTAAACTAGGGGACTGTAGAGGTGAGTTCTTCTGCAGACAGAAATTCTTCACAATTTTTATTTGTGATTCAGGTAGAAGTTTTACTTTGGGTTGAGTGTTTCAGTAGCATCCTTGATCCTGTATTAATGTAACAGGCTCCACAAGAACTTAGTGTTTCAGTTATCTTTTTATTTTTTAATAGCCAGCTCCTTATAGTAAATATCTTGCCATAACTTGAAAATTCATATCCCCCTTGGCACTCCACTGAAGGTTTATCTTTGCACTTAGACAGCCTGACCTTCCATCAAAATCAGGTTGCATATTCCCTAGCTTTTGCCTCAGCCTTTCCACAAGCTAGAACATTAGCATGAAGAAGATGGAGCCATACTGAAATGCTTTGGGTAAAATTGTGAGTTCATTTTCCTTTTTAAATACATTTTCTGTTGCTTTCTTTTTGATCCAGAACCAGGCTTGTCTCTTAGGGCTTAGGAACACAGACTGCCTCTGCCCTGGACCTTGTCTGAATTCCTTTGATGTTGCCAGTCTTAATTGGCCACTTGCTTTATCCACTTCCTACTGGCATTTTCAGGGACACGTATTGTGGTTAAATAAGGATCAGGATAAACAAATAGGCCGAATATATGTTTATTCAGGGAGAAATAACTTACAACCTAGACAGATGAACATCAGCAAGTTCCACCTGATGCTCTCCTCTCCACACCAGCAAGAGAGCATTCCCCAGCTCCTCCTCAGACCTCCTTCCACAGAAAGAGACAAAGTGAATATCCCACTACAGACAAGTTACCAGATTTTTGCCAAGAGGATGTGGGTTTGGGGAGTTAGTTCGGTAGGATGTTTATCTAAACTAGTTTTCACCCTCTAAACGTCGATAATTGACTTAAATCACTGAATCTGACTCTCTTGCAGTGATATTCTCAACTGCTAACATTTCTTGCAGGGGATATAAGAACAATGTCTATACCCCCTTTTAGGTCCTAGTGATAAACAAAAGCATGATTCCAGGACAGCACAGTTCATTCTAGGAAAAGACTGTACTGGACCTACTTAAAGAGCATGGCTGACAGGTTATTTATAAAAACATGGCTGACTTCAGGGAAAAAGTCTATGGATGGTGGCTTCCCCATGTTTGCATCAGTGAAGCCTCCTTTCCATACTAATTATGAGCCTTTATGCTTTAGCCCCCTCTCTGAAACCACTTGCAATTAGGCTGTAACTACATACAAAAGGCTGGAAGAGTGGCCAGATACTCTGGTAAATGTCCAGTGACTGTCCCTGCTCTCTCATTCACTCTTTGGAGAGAAAATGTTAACAGTCTACAGGATCAATGGTAACAGATTCTCACAAATTGTGCAGTTGGTCTCATGAAGATAGTAGCTGTGTGGCTGGGGTGGGGGGACAGCAACTTCCAGCACTCTCAATCCTAATTCTTGTATTTTCCCAAACACAGTATTCTCATTGACACCCACAATTTTCTGTGCATTATGAACACCACAACGACTCTGAATGTAGCTGGAATGATATTATCACTATGGGCAACATCTGTTTTCAGTGATTTCTGCTGGGGTGCCCTTAATAAACATTCATATTCTTGACAAAAACATATTCACGCGCTATAGCAGCAACAAAGATTTATCATTAGAATTGGGAGATTTCCCTCAATTTACTCCCTATAATCTTAGCCCTTTAAAGTATGATGTGGGGGTGAGAAACAGGCATATAGAGAATACTTTATAAGAAAAAAGTAAAACTTAGAAACATAAGCTTGAAAACAAGCTCGATTAGTGGGTAAGCAGAATGATCGCATACTTGCAGAAACAAACAAACCTTTGGCTATTTTCTGCTTGTTTTTCATTTTGTTTTGAGACAGTGTGTCACTAGGTGACCAGTTTGACCTTAAAAAGTAATTGTCCTCCCTTGGACTCCTAAATGCTGTGATTACAGGTGTTCTGTTGTGTCTTCCCCTATACCTTGACAGTGAGTGTGCCCGGGCCCAGCTCTTGTCCTTTGTCTCTCCCTATTTACTCCCCTGATGATCACAGTGCTTGTCTATCAGAAGCAAGGATCTGGGTTTGATCCCCAGAGCTGTATAATAAAGATAAACAACAACAAAAGAAAAACAGGAAAAAAAAAGAAAGAAAGAAAGAAAGAAAGAAAGGAAGGAAGGAAGGAAGGAAGAAAGAAAGAAAGAAAACCGACATACACGAAAAAACAAAATGTTCCTTAGGATAATTGTGCTTCATGCATCTTCTTATACTTCAAAGTAAGTTCAGATTTCACAAATGTAGAATTGAAAATTTCTGCTTTGCACTGTAAAATGTTTCATTCTGACCTTCATGAACTTAGTTAAATGACACAAAATATACCAGCAATATATCCCACTTGGCCCCCAAAGGAATTTATTATCACACTTATCAAATTATTTCAGTTGTCATCTGATTTTTACTATGAAAATTTTCTAAATGTTAGAATATACACACAAGTGAGTCCTTGTTACCACTCTGTTAATAGCTTTACAGCATTCTCGTGTGACCTTAAATGTAATTTCCAAGTTAAGAGCCAAACAACCTTGTGTCAAGTGTCTTTCCATCACCATGCATCAGTGCACTGATAAACAGTTGGGAAATCTTTTGAGCTTGTACAATCTATTAACAGAGTGTTCTCGTGAGAAGCGAAACACATCTCTGCCATATCAGCTTTTCAGAAAGGGTCAAAAGTTTATGAAAGTAGCAACAGGAAAGCCATATGAAAGAATTCCAAGGTTAGCATGAACCACAGCCTTGACTTTTTTTTTTTTTTTTTTTTTTTTCATTTTATCGTTAAACAATGTAGGGACATGAAAGCTGGGGTAGAATTCATCTTTTACCATCTGTCATTTTAATACAATGAAATGCCATTGCTCATTATATGATACTTTAGTCTTTGTGCATATGTCTGAATTTATACAGTGTATATTGCAAAGTGCTTATTGATTTGTATAACATATTTCCCTCAAAAATCATGTTTTTCTCATTTGTTTTTTTTTTTCAAATTTAAAATAGTGAACTATATGACATTTAATTAAATATGTGTATCTATTTCTATTGCCATTTCCTATAAACCCCCTTTTCTGGAACGCGTTGATTTTATTGTTATAAATAATGATGTCATAGCTACTGTGGCCTGTCAGACTTTTTTTTTTTTTTTTTTTTTTTTTTTTTTTTTTTTGATATTCTACTAGACAAAGCAAAATCTATTGTGAATATCCTGGTATCTACCATTGTTTAAAAAGATGGTATCATTTCTTCTAAGATAAAGTTTTGCACATATTAGTTATGATTTTCTTGCACTCAAATTCTTCTTAAAGTTGGGGTAAATTGCTCCATTGCAATTTTCCTTTATTCTTTTAAAATAAAAAAAAACTTTGTCTGTTTATATAACTAGCTGACCATTTGTGTCATTTTTTTTTAAATTATTGTATTAGTACAAGCATTGCTTCCATGCTGAAGAAATTAGTATATAAAGATTGGGGTTAGAAACTGAACCATATTATACCTGATGATAGTGGCAATCATTTTTATATTTTTGGTTGTGGGTCTAACCTTTAATAGCTGAGCCAGCTCTCCAGCCCAAGAGTGGCATTATTTCTTGGAAATAAAGAAAATGTCAGTGTTTGAATGTAAGACCAAAAAGTGACTGAAAAGAATGTAATGAAGACACATTCTTAAAATTCTCAAAAAATAAAAACAACAACAACAAAATAATAGAGTATTTGCAAGCATGCTAAATGGAAAGTGAATGTGCCATTCTTTTAGCTATGTGATTTTAAGGAAAGCAAGCAAATAATTTAACAGCTTTGAATTATAATTTTATATATTTAAAATATTAATATACTATTGATGTAAAGGAATACTATGAAGACTAAAACAATTTTAAGCTTGTCTAGCACACAGAAAGCTGCCAGTAAATGAATCAGCACTATTTTACAATACTGTATTACCATATGTGCTTCACTTATTTTAGCTTCAAGGGAGCTCTGTGAGCTGTATAGTCAGATTTCCTCTACTTTACATCTTAAAACACTAAAACCTAAGTGGTTAAGGTACTTATTAAATGTTATATAGCAGGAAGTGCAGATGCTAGAGTTTGAAATTAAGAAGTGTACCAATACAATGTGAACTCTCAGCTACTACCTGACACATTCATCATTTCAGCTCCGTGACTATCCTGCCACAGTTCCACATGGCCAGTGCTAACACCAGCCCAATTTCATGCCGGGTAAGTCTTACTCATCCATCAATATCACGCTAAATTGTAACATCTCCATGAAGATATTTTTTATAGTTATTTCTCGCTTTAAAGTAACAGCCTTTCCTCTTTGTATAGTCCTTATCTATAGCAATTTTATCCTCTGTAGGATGCTCAAGTTGTAGTAGTTCTTCTTGGGCATATGCTTTATATTAAGATTTTCAAAATTAAATGTATTTTCATTCTTTGTATTTCTTCCCCATATGTATTTCAAAGAAAAATATCTGCAGAAGAGACTCAGCCAAAACTCACTCCATGTGCAAGGAAAGATTAATCAGGTTAAAGCCAAAATTGTCATGTGAAAAGAAAGGAACAAACTAATATATTAAACATACTTTGAATAAAACCAATATTTTAACAAAAAAATACATAGTTATTTGCTAATCTGACCATAAAGTAGCCTGTTTCATGCATATATATTATGTATTCATTAATGAAAACCTTGGCAGGGAGTTTTAGTATTATTTTACCTCTTCAACAAAACCAAACTATTAATGGTAGAATAAGTTCCTCTAGTAACAACTAATCAGATCTCTCTCCTCCTCCTCCTCTCTCTCTGTCTCTCTTTCCCCCTCACACACTCACACATACACAGAGAAGATATACCCCATAAACACAAGTAATTTCAGAAAAAATAAATTAAACTATACCTCTTTTGTCATTGTTGGTAAAGAAGTCCGCACTGATTTATGCACTTCCCTCTCTTTACAATTGAAACCTAAAATCTTTATCGCATAGTATTTCAGCATCTGGCCCACAAGGAAAGGAAATGACACAGTTGTGTGTTGAAAATCTTTCTTTGAAATGTATTTCAATAGCTGTCTCATCAATGCACAAGTTTGCAAAATCTAAATTTGTCAGATAACTCATTCCCCTTTCTTTACAGGACATTGCAAGAAGAAAAAGAGAAGTTAAAAAATAAAAGAGCGAGAATTTTGGAGCAGGGCACAAAATCAACCCCGTTCCAGTCATTTCTGGTGTACAAGTTATATATGACTTCTCTAGACTCCATTATTCCCCATCACATCTTCTTAAAGTCATACGGTGCTGAGAGAAGAAACCATGTTTTGATTGCCAACTTGTCATTCTTTTCTCCTGGTCTTTTTAGGAAAGAGAAAAGCAAAAGCATAAAACAAAACATAAGGAAAGGCTACAGCACTAACAATGGAAACAAAGAATGCTGCTGATCCCTTCAGCTCTCTCTGTAATAGTGTTAGCAGTATCTGTTTATTACCTTGAAGCATATTGGACTGAAGGAAGATGAAGCAGCATCAGCTCAATGGAAAGAAAAACCCTTTACCATCTGGCACATGGGCAGATATTTGTACATTTTGTTGTATTCATTCACTCACATTCTATAAGTTCAATAATTATGCATTTACAAATTCAACACTGCAATATATATATATATGTGTGTGAGTGTGTGTGTGTGTGTGATCCAAACAGAAGTAATCATGCTTCATGTTTCTTCTTGTTTAAAAATGTGTTCTTCTCTCATACATCACATCCCTGCAGCGGCCTCCCCTCTCCCCAATTCTCCCAGTGCCCCTCCCAACTCCTCTCTTGCCCAGATATACTGCCTCTCCCTTCCCCTTCAGAAGAGAGAAGGTCTCATAGGCATATCAACCAAACACACATAAAAAGTTACAGCAAGAGTAGGCATAAATCCTCATATCAAGGCTGAGCAAGTCAACCCAGTAGAAAGAAAAGGGTCCTAAGAGCAGACACCCCATTCCCACTATTAGGAGTCAAACAAAACACCAAGCCAACAACTATAATATATATGCTGAGGACCTATCCCAGGTCCATGCAGACTCCCTGATTACCACTTCAATCTCTGTGAGCCCCTGTGAGCCCTGCTTAGTTGATTCAGTGGGTCATCATCATTAGAGGCTTCTTCATGCAGCTGAATGGAGCAGATGCAGAAATCCAAACATTAAGTAGACAGAGAGCTGAAATTGGAGATCTCCATCGAGTCCCTCCCCTTGGAGTTTGGAAACCCATGGAAAAGGAAGAGGAAGAATTGTAGGAACCATGCTTGACAAATGATGAATCAGATCAGTAAGCCCAAAGATACCAAATATCAGATGATGGAAGGAATTAACTTTCAGATGTGTGGTAGAAAGAACACAAGAGTAAAGCATTTGAGAAAATATAAGTAATAATGTAATAGTAATAGCGTTTATAAAAACAATATCATGAACTCATTCCTGAGGTAATATTAAGAGGCTAAAAGTAGGCAGGGGTACAGCTCAGTGGTAAAAAAAAAAACTTGTGTAGCATTAGCTAAGGAGCCCAGGTCCTATCCATAGCATCACATTTTTTTCAATTAAAAGAAAAACAGTAAAAGAAGTAATTAAAAGGAGAATGTAATTTTTATCTGTGAAGCGTTAAACAAAAAGAATCATAAATCCATCCATGCTGAACTAGCAACAAGGCTATTGTGCTATTTCATAGCCACATGGAAGAAGTTACTCATAAAAGTTTAAAGAAAGAGAAACTGCAAACTGACATAAGATCTCACTCATTTTCCTTTACTATGTTTGAATAAATCTGATTGTAGGGCATGGGGCCTATGATATCTGGAGTGTAAGAATCACATCCTACCCAGGCATGGTGATGCAGGCCTGTGAACCTAGCATTCAGGAAACTAAGAAAGGGGATGAAGGGTTCAAGGTCCACTAGGAATCTAGTAAGATCTTGTCTCAGAAAAAACAAAATAAAACAAAACAAAAGGAACAACAAAACTTTGTTAAATGCAGATAACCCAACCCAATAATATTATAAGATCTAAAAGTTACACTTAAGAAGTCACAGACTATGATACCTACTTTCCGTCTATTTTTATGAGAATTCTAAACTAGGATCAGCTACATTTCTAGTCTCTCTGCAACACTGTTTTATATAAATAGTTGTACTTCACAATGCTAACCACTTCCCCTCTTATTTCCTCATTCTCTGGTTAATCTAGTATTCATGTAAAAAAATCCTATTTCTTCTATTTATAAAATTATGCACTATCCACACATTTTGTTTGTATATAATTATGCTTATATATACATTCTATAATGTATATAGTATATTATGTTATCTATTAGATATCCCATAACATGGTGCACGAAATCTCCTTAACAGTAAACCAGGGAAGAAAGACTAAACTTAGGCTAACTGAAATTGTAGAAGCAATGAAGAATACCTATAGAGCTGTGGCTGTTGTTTCATTTAATTATAGCCACTCTGCCAAGCTTGATCAAGTGTGGTGGGTCAAGGAGATGGCTCAGAGGATGAGGGGGCTCACCCTCACACTTGACCACCTAAGTTTGACTCTCAGGATCCACATGGTGGAAGGAGAGAAAGGACTCCTTCAAACTACCTTTTGGATCTCACATGAGTACTGTGGAATGTCATCCCACCCATCTCCTCAAAACTTAAATGTTTAGGAAGAGGAAGTATGGCTTGAAGATATACTTAAGTAAAGTTTCAATATCCTTGAGTTATGAGTTATCAGAAGTGGTAGCCAAATATACTGATTTTAGACTGTGTCAAGATATATTACTTCTTAATCTTGGGTCATCGTATGTACCATAAAGGGGTGTGTGAATTCTTCATCAGAAGCATTGTGTGGAAAAATGGTATATGGCACATCTCTTCTCTGATTTAAACTACTATATTGCTTGCTTCTGCAGTTGGCAGATTGTTAGGGTGATGTGAAAGTAATCTTTACTTTCAGCTTACAAAATTCCTCTGAGAATGTCTGTGAGAGTGTTTCCAGAGAGACTTCACTGGGAAGGGAAGAGGCAACCTGACTGTGGAGAAGCCATCATTTGATGAACTGGGTGGAACATCTGGACTGACTCAAAAGAAGGATGTGTGCTAGCCACTAGCAATTCTTCCTTTCTTAGATCCTAAGAACTCAATGTTATCAGATGCTTTATGCTCCCATTGCCATGCTTTTATCCTTATGGTTGTCTTCATCTCTTCTGAAGTCACAGAGTAAATGAAACCTTCCTTGCTTTGGGGCAGCTATTTTGTCACATAAATAACAATATCACAATACAAGATTGGCTCACTTGGTTCTCTGATTAATCCTAGCCTGTTGAGGCTGGTGGACCAAGCATTTGTACTGTAACAAGGAACTTAAATATTAATTTTTAAAAGTACTAGAAAGCAAAGATAAGCAAAATGAGATAATAGAGCATGTGGCTCTTTGGAGCCCCTGAACATTCCTGGTTTTACATTTAGAAAATCCCATGACTATATGCATCAGGGGTTCTCAGAACAGATGGTTCAAAGGTTAAAAGCATGGGCTAATCTTTCAAAGGTGCCAGGTGTAGTTCTCAGTAACTATATGGCAGCATTCAACCTTATGAAACTCCAGTTTCAGTGGATCCAACATCCTCTTCTGGCCTCTGCAGGACCAGGATTACAATAGTTATACAGACAAGCATGCAGGCAAGATAGCCATACACTAAAAAAATTTTTAAAAATTCTGTTGTGTTTTTCAGACTGCAGAAGCATGAAATACCACCTAAAATCTCTGACAATGGAGAGGGTAAATGATTTATCATATCCTCCAGAAATTCTATGAAACCAAGACCCACCCTTCACTGAGGAAACCTCAACAGGGCCTTATATTATCCATATGGATGAATGTACCACTACATGACTAGCTGAGCTTAATAGAGGAAAAATATTCAAGCTATGGAGGGCATGTGAAGCTATTCTCCAAAGACAAATGGTCACACAAAGAATATAATCATAAATTATAGAATATTTCTTCTACCCCATGACTTACCAAAGCTGCAAGAGAACCAGACAATTGCAGAACAAATAGCTACTAGATCATTTTTGCTATTTATTTTTGAGATTGTAGTTTAATGACAGCACTTGCCCTTTCCTCCTGCCAAGCCCTTCCATATATCAGTCCCCTCCTTCAAATTCATGATCTATTGTCCTTTATTTTTTAATGAATGTACATGTGTGTTTTTATATGCATATGCATCTCTAAATGTAACTTAACAAGCCCATATAATATTACTTGGTATTTGTATTTAAGGTATTATTTTAAGGAAGTATATAGGAAAAGTCAAAACCAAAAGAGAAGAAAAAAAAAATGAGGGCACACTAGAAGAAGTTTTAGATTTAAAGGGCTTTATCTACAGGAAACATTAAGCACAACCCAACACCTCAATAAAGTAATATCATGCAAGTGTATCCTAAACATCACAGGTAACACAACTCTTCAAAATTTATGGAAGTACAAAATAAGCATCTACAAAATGATAGTGACTGATTTTCTTGCAAAGTCAGCTATCTACAGCAACCAACATCCACAGTTTCCCCTTTCTTTATTATTTTATCTTACTAAAAAGAATCATAAATGTAAGAAAGTGACTATGACTCCATTTGAGGGTGCTATTTTAGACATATGAATATTCATCATACTGAATTTAGGCAAGTATGGCTTCAGAATCCTAAGGAACTTTGAGAGTTGTGAAAAGTGTGCATTAAGTAAAATCTAAGCAAGCAGCACCAAGTGCTTGCCCAGAATCTGAAATCTTGGGATGTCAACCTAGGGATTTCACAAAGAGAATCAGGATCTGTAGAGATATCTCACTTTGTAAAGGATCTAAGGATCAAGGTTTGATTCCCAGCACTAACTACAAAGCAGTGAGAGCCTGCAATTCACATGCTAAAAAGGCAGAGACAGATGAATCCCTGGTGCTCACTGTCCAGTCAGTCTAGCCAACTGGGATAAATTGGTAAGATTACCTATGTTCCAAACAGAGCAGCATCAACAAAAAAGTGGAGAATGATTAAGGAATATACTGATGCAGACATCTAATTTAAATACAGATACATGCCTACCTGTGT